GTTACTATAGTGTGCCAACAGAGTTCAGCAGATCCATTAACATTTTCCCCGCAAAGCACGATTATCTTTCTCCAGAAACCTGTGAAGCTGAGATTTGTCTCAATCTTATTTGCCAATTACACACTTCAAATATTTGTATAGTCCTGAAAATAGAGATGGTCATTACATTCCATGTCTTTCTCATATATGTTGAGTATTTTAGCATATTTGAAAAATTTCATCCGAACCATTTCTCCAAACTCACCTCCAGTTTGGAGCAACATCTAATCTCTGGTTTGCTCGTCTCTTTCTTTCCCCTCCAATTCTAGTTTAGAATCTTAAGAGTTACTCTTTCCATGAAAGTTCTCATCACCACTTGGGTGCATCATTACTTAGTTTACAAGATGTTAATCTGTGCTAGAGTTGTGCCTCTTTAAATGTTTTTCTTCATATTTGCTCTTTTTAAAATAAACTTTACATGTAAATAGTTTTATATTTACAGAAAAGTTGAAGAAATTCAAGAGTTCTCAAATACTCCTGATCTCCCCTATAAATAGCATCTTACATAAGTACAGTGCATTGGTCAAAATCTGTGAGTTCACATTGATATGATAAATCATTATTTTTAACTAAACACCATACTTTATATTTCCTTATTTTTACCTAATATCCTTTATCTGTTCCAGGACCCTATCCAGGATACCACATTGTGTTTGGTCAACCTGTCTCTTTAAGGATATCTAGACTGTGACAGTGTCTCAGATTTGCCTGTTTTTAGTGACCTTGACAATTTTGAAAACTACTAATCAGATATTTTTCAGACTATACCTCAGCTGTTGGTTTGTTTTTTAATTGACATATAGTCAGTTACAATGTGTCAATTTCTGGTGCACAGCATGATGTCCCACTAATGCATATATAAATTTGGAAGTTTGAGATTTGCAAATGTTAACCACTATATATAAAAACAGTTAAAAAATGAATTTCTTCTGTATATCATAAGGGACTATATTCAGTATCTTGTAATAACTTTTAATGAAAAAGAATATGAAAACGAATATATGTCTATATACACATGACTTAACTAGGTTTTAACTGATGTTTTTCACACGATTAGACTAGGGTTATAGGTTTTGGGGAGAAAGGCCACAGAGATAAAGGCCATCCCCATCACATCATGTCAAGGGTACGTGTACGCAACATGATTTATTTTTACTGTTGCTGTTGACCACCTGGCTACGGTAGTGTTTGTCAGGTGAATTCACTCTAAGGTTATTCTCTCCCCGCCCCCTTTCCATTCTGTACCCTTGAGAAGGAAATTGCTTGGTGCCGTCCACACTGAAGGAGTGGGGAGTTATGCTCTATCTCCTTGAGGGTGTAATATCTGCATAATTTATTTGAAATTCTTCTGTGCGAGAAATTTGTCTATTCTCATTAATTTATATATGAAACTTTTCTGCCACAGTACTGCTGTGGTGGATACTCAGCGCTATGAATTTGTGAAAATCCATAAAACTTTACAGCATAAACAAAGAATCTTAATGTGTGCAATTAAAAAAAAAACCCTTTAGGAAGCCAGAGGACGCTAGGATGGAATAAATACTGCAACAACAAAACACTATACATATATATTGGAACTAAGCAATTAAGTGAATGGGTGGCTGATGGAACAAGACAGGTTTCTCACTGTTGGAGTGGGAGCTTACAAACAACAAGAGAAGAAGGCTAGAATGTTCCATATGGTAACAAATTAGAGTTAGAGACAGTATGAACTTGTGTTTAGTACAGATACAGACAGATAAGTACAGTAATACATATAGATATGTCTGTATACATGCATATACACAAATATTTCTTGCTTTGTCTGCTGAGAAGGGCTATGACAATTACACCTGCCATGGCTGTTATCTAGATCTTGGCTTCTAATACCATTTTCCAATAAAAGAACCAGGGATCCTAGAAGAAAGGGATGATTCTATCAGTGGGGCAGGAGATCAACCTGGGATACTTTAGAGTGCCAGAAAGTAAGGAAGTGAGCAAAACAAAATCACAAAAAGGGAAGTGTGTCAAAGATGGGGCCGATCATGCAAGCGCCTACTGAAAGAGCTACCAATGGCCAAAGCTGGAAAAACATAAGCAAAATGAAAAACGAATGTCTTTGTTAAATGCAATTTGATTAACACATCATCCTGAATGAATCACTGTTTCTTGCTCCGTAAGTCCTACCAAAGAGATAATTTAGGATAAGGGTTGTTAGCAAATATTCTGGAATTAGACTGATCAAGTTTAAATTATGGCTCCAGTTCTTATGTATTAGCCTGGTCAAACTGCTTAATCTATTTATATTTCCATTTTCTTGTCAAAATATTGGATAATGACAATATATATGAAGTGCTAGTCTATGGTGCTGGGCAGATGGTAAGCACTCAGTAAATATGAGCTATTTTTAAAAGTTTGTTTGCAGTATGCATTAAGTAAAATTCATTATTTTCATTGCTAAATGACAATTTATTTCTTGATAATTTTGGGAGCAGTATTTTCAAAGGGTATAGAGTTTATTGCAGACATACCAAACTAATTTGCTAAAATTCATTTATACATATAAAATGCCATTTCTGCATTTTATATTTACAATTCCCATTAATGGGATTATAGATAAGTTCTGTGATAGTTGCTATGACTTCCTTTGATTTTTACAAATGACTAAATTGCATATTAGGTTTTAATATGGTTGCTTTTTCTAAATGTAGCAATATAGCTTGGGGCGATATTTCTCTAGTGTCACTATTGACCAATTCTGTTATTTTTGTGAAAATTTCCGTGATAATGTTTGCTTGATGTCAGACACATAAAATCATTGAAAACTGACTGAAAATAAAGCTAAAAACCAGGAATCAGTTGTTTTACACTTGGATAAACTCATACTTTGTTAGACATCCTACAATAGCCAATAATGTTGGTAAGCCAGAGTACTAAGGTGTGGTCTAAGGAAGAAGGCATGGTGGGCTGCAGCACTGGCCCCATTAGGGTACAAAGCACCCTCCCAAACTACAGACCAGTCTTCCCATGGTTTAACATAAACAATAATTTAAAAAAAAACTTACATGAAGTATTAAACAAATATTCTTGAAACACACCCCCTTTTATCCCATTCAAAACCAGATTGCCATTCCTAAATACCTCCTGTAAATAAATTCTAGACAAATCCTTGGTGTCAACAGGAATATTTCTGCATCTATACACAAGGTTTGACTTTAACAGTCATCAACTCACTGCTGTCAACAAAGATACTAATATTTTCAACCTAAATGTTGAGTCAATATCAAGTTGCTTTGAGTACTTGAATTAACATGTCAGCCCCCATGGAGTTCTTCCCCTTTCCTTTTCTAGGGTACAGCTCCTGGCTTTAAAAATTCAGTTGAGGTTATATTTTGGCTTTGGTGTGTGCCTCCTTGGAACTGCAGAACAGAAAAATTACCATTTGATGCTCCTGGCTTCGAAAATATCCCCAAAACTGGGGAGGCGATCTGATGGGCCGCTGATATATAGATGGCCCAGAGTGAAGCCAAATCATCATTGTAGATGAAGAAGTGTCACGCAGAGACAGTGTGGGTTCTATCCATCTTTCAATGATAATTAGAAAATCTACTGTTTCTGTCACTGGCTTCTCCAAGGAACTAAGTGATACCCGAGGCTCTAAGTTGGCTTTAATTCATGGGGTAGGAATAAAATGTTGCATTCTTGATTTATTGCATGAAACTTCCCTTTGTCTTAACCCATTGATTGATCTCATGTAAATTGGATTTGTCCCTTGCTAACCTGAAAGCTCAAGGAGGTCGAGGACCTCGTGTCTCTTAAAATTTAACACAATGCCTACCATATGTTAAATGTTTATACTAGTATGTTGAAATTCAATCAATTCTTCAATATGTTACAAAACTTGTGGATAAAGATTCAAAGCTGAACTTCTCCTTGCTTTCTTTTATCTTTGTGTTAAAAAACACTCCTTTTTGGGAGAAATAGAGAAAAACCAAACAGATGGTAAAAGTGTGTTATCTTCCTTAATAAAAAATGTATTAATCAATCCTAATCTTTCGATAATTTCAAAACATAAACAAGGGGGAGGGGAATGAGGAGTCATGAGATGTAGGCTGCAAATCTAAGTGTTTTTCTAGGCAACTGTGGGGACAGGGACAAGTGGTAACTGTAAATCAACTCAGCAATTGCATGGGATTCCAAGCTGGGAAGCAGAGCATCACTGAATCTGTTCCAGGGGCTCCTGTCTCTTTTACTTAGTGTTCTCTAAGGAAAGGATGACTTGGCCACTGTAAGGGCTGATCAGGCAAGAACTCTTATACATTTACCTTCCCAATCAGAGTTCCTATCAAATACAACTCCTGGGGAATAGTGAACCACGCATACAAGATCTGCCCTGTATTTTACAGAATACAAAATAGTGAAAAGTTTCCTGATACTCAAAGACCTGCAATTTTACTTATTATAAACATTTCCCAGTATCATCAGATGTAAGGACCACTGCTTGAGCTTCCTGAATGGCTTCCTAGCGTATGTCTGGCCTTTCTCTAATTAATTTCTGCACATCACTTTCAAAATTCATCTTTCAAAAACACAGCTTTTACAAAGGTAGGTCCTGCTCTAAACACACACACACACACACACACAACAGAACGTAGTCATCCTCTACATTTACAGAGCAGTGGGAATCTGCTTAGTCTGGCACTCAATGCTTAATATAGACTTGGAATCAAACAGACCTTAAGTTCAAACTCTGGCTCTGTTTTGGTAGACCACACAGATAATCCAAGAGAGTCTTATATGAGTAATAACTATGTCATTCTTATTATAGAAATATTTGGACTTTAGGTTATTTTTTAATCCCAAAGGGTTTAAGCTTGGGTTCTAGCTTATGTTGCTTAATTTCTATTTTAGCAACAAGAAATACCTGGGAATGATAAGGCTACCTACAGCATCTACTGCCTACACATTCGATCATAGTTAGGAAATTGCTTTACATTTTTATGCATTTAGTTATCAAGATACATTTTTTCAATCTATTATATAAATGGTGACTGTGTTTACCCTACTCAAATCAGCTCAGTATCCCTTGCCTTCTATTTTAGATCAATTGCCTAATATAGTTGGACATTCTGTTTGTCTTAGAGAACCTCAAACAACTGACATTTATTATTCATCACTCAGAAAAAATGTGATTTTAAAAAAGAGGGCTATTGGACACAATCAAGAAGAAATCGGACTTTAAATATCAATGTGTTAATGTCATTAATCAATATTAGAAACGTTCACATTCGTGTGTGTGTGTGTGTGTGAGCCCACATAGGTGTAAGCCAGGTGGGAAAGGGGCAAGAGGTCCTATGGGGCCAGGGTCAATCTTGGTAGTGGAAAATTGGAGAGTGGTTGTAGGCAGTCTCTAAGACTCCAAGATGACCCCCAGTCATTCTGGACTTCTAGTATTGATTTCTATGTGTGATTCTTAAAACTGAGCTAGACTAACTGATTCACTGCTAAATCAAAGAATTTGGCAGA